GGTGCCCTCAATATGACGGAGGCTAATTGCGGAGAAGGCGCCGTGTAAGCGAGCTTTCGGTTGCACATCAAACGATCCCAAGGTGGTCGAAATTAATCCTCAGTCCTCCGCTGAAGCGTGCCAGATGCCCGTCGTAGGTTTGGCACGTGAAACGCCCAAATTTGACTTTTTAACCAGAGACCAGGTTTTGCCCTTGTTGCATTCCATGCATCCCGGGATCATCCTTATGAAGGCGCTGGCTAGAACCATAGTTTGGTGGCCAGGTATCGATCAAGATATCAAAAGGAAGGTCCGAACCCGCCTACCCTGTCAGGAGACTAGGCCAAAACCTGCACGCGCAAGGCTCCATCCGTGGGACTTTACCAGAAACCCTTGGTCCCGGATGCATATAGATTTTGCAGGGCCATTTTAAAGGAAAGTTTTTCTTGCGGTGGACGCACACTCCGAATGGCTGTAAGTCATCCAGATGTCATCCATGTCCTCAGCAACAGTTTGTTGAAAGCTTCGAGCGTTGTTTGCAACACATTGTCTTCCGAACACTACAGTCTCCGACAATGAAACGGTGTTCGTCTCGCGAGAATTTGAAGAATTCACGCTGAGTAACCAAGTGCGGCACAACAAGGTGGCGCCATACCGTCCGTCATCTAACGGTCAAGTAGAGCGTATGGTCCAAGATACTAAACAGGTCCTCAGGAGCATAGAAAGAGGTTACATGGCCGCCAAGCTGGCACGTTTCCTTTTGAGCCAACATATTCTGCCGCACTCTACGACAAGAAAGAGTCCTGCAAAATGGTTGATGGGCCGAAGACTCCGTACAGCGCTGGACCGGCTCCACCCAGACCTACGAACAAAGTTGGTATGCAGGCAAGAAGAACAAGCGCTGCGGGAACACAAGGTGTACGCGAATTTGAGCCGCAATAAACCGTCTTAATTGCAATTATCTAGCAGGCCCCGAGTGGCTACTTGGTGTTGCCACTGAGATCACGGGTCCGGTGTCGTTCACGGTTCGCACCATCGAGGGGCGTTTTTGGGAGGGACACGTAGACCAAATCCGGAGTCGGGAGTGGAGCACGTATCTGGAGGAGGAGCCTGCGACAGAGGTGTCATAACGGCAGCGTCCCTTGTCATGCGAGCCATGACTTTTGGATGAGCTAGTGGAAGAGCGTCCGCTCTCAACGAGTAAAACGGGCTTTTCTGCGCAGCCGACCACTCCAGAGGAAACACCTGTGGCAACACCTTCTTCACAACATCTGCCTGCTTCAGAACCACGACGCCAAGCAGTGTTGCCAAGTTTAGCGCCCGTGCAAGAACAATCGAGTCGTCCCAGCGCCAACGCCAACTTCCTAACTACCTTAAAGACTACGTGACCGAGGGGGGAGGGATGTTATGTGCTGACTACTGTGAAGACTGCCACGAAGCGGGACATGAGGACGCGTTCGCGTTCGGGCTCTCAAACAGACTCTCGCTGTCCAGCCCAGCGAGGTCGGCTATGAAACACTGTGCTTGCTATGTACATAATGCATAAAAAAGTCTAAATACACATCAGCCGGCGAGGCAGCCGGCTCGGCCGACCCATCTGTCGTCAAGGAAACTGCAAAACAGCGAACCCTATGGCACCTTAGCGTGGAGCGGGAGGAACGCCCTGACGAGCAGTTGAGTTCCGTTCCTCCGATGTCGAATGACCTACGGAGGAGCACTCAGACCCTCGTCCGCCGCCTCGCGACCAACACTGTCCTATCCCCAGCGCTGCGCCATAAGTTCTCCGGTGACGATCCCGACATGGGGGCGTGTCGCCGGTGCCGGAGGACCGCGACGGCTTCCCATGTTGTCTGGGAGCGCGAGCGCCACGCTAGCCTTCGGAAAACGAAACTGGAGGAACCCCCAGACGAGGTCCGACCGGCGACGTATGTCGATTGGATTCTGCCCAGCAGTCGTGACAAGGCGATCGTCTCCCTGCTGTGGACAAAGCTGGCGGAGTTCGTTTACGACTGAAGCTGAAGGTGCTGGGACCAACACCCACCCAGACCGCCGTGACGGCAACGGCAGATCCTTAGGCCCGCACCGATGGAGACGACAGTGGTGCATTATTTGTGTGTATGATATATAAATACATATATTATATATAACACGGCAATAATGAACGTTCTAACAACAACATAACAGATGCCAAGCAAAACAAAAATGAAAAGTGATGTAGGGTGTGTTCAAGGTTCACCAGAATTCCGGTGACGCTTATATATTGCTGATATGCACGACCTATCACTAGACAAAAATGACCCCTTCGTGCGTCTTTAAGAGCGGTTAAAACAATTAAACCACAAATAATAAAGTATGTGGTGTATGAGAGGTGCGTCTTCTTATTAATTCTTATGCCGAGCAGCGTTTATCGGGCACCTGCTTTCTGGATCCTCCCTAGTTTCAAAGATCGCGAGCGTGCGGGTGATGTTTTGAACGCAGAAAAACAATATTGGTAGATATTCATGAGCAGAAAGAATAAAGCAGTACTTATTTATTGCAAAAAGGACTATATTACGTGACCTTCAATTTAGTCTACATGCACACGCAGTTGCTGATCCAGTGTCACTGGGTAGTTCATGCCGTCTCTCTCGGTTTTTCATATGTCCTTCGTTCATTTGGCATGCATATATATGTCCCCCACGCTCAACAAAGCCAGCGCCGTGTTCGCGCTACTAGTTTCCGAAAGTGCGCATGAATACATGTAGAAAGCCGTTTTAGCACCGTTTTTACTGCCATGAATTTAAAATAAAACGCCTAACTGACCAATTCTTTACTTTGCGTGACTGGGAAATGTTCCAGTGTACCTATTAGGCACGAGGTATTCGTGATAGTTTCCCTTATAAGTAAGCCAAGAGAGAAAATTCATTCCCTTTTTCCCATAAAAATGCATTACCGGAAATGGAAATGGGGAGCCCGGGAGCACCGCGCCCGGCAGCACCGTGCCCGGTATTCAGCGAGAGCATCGACTACGTCAATGAATACATGACACATGCCGAGAGTGTGACACCCAAGCGACACCCGCAGCAACACCTCCACTCCCCCCCCCCCCCCCCCCCCCCCCAAGATGCATACTAAGACAGCGTTACAACCTGCGAAAGTCTGCCGCGGAAAGCTCCTCGCACCCAAAAGATTGCCGACAGTTGGGTGAGCCCAGTTTCTGGGCTCAAAACTACATCACCAGTTTTCTTTAAATACTAGAGCTCTCAGATAGACGCATTAGGCACGAACTCTTTAAATCAACTTTGCTGTGTACCTTAAACCAGGCATTACCCGAAGGTCCTGTCGCTTTCCCTTCCTCTCGCCTACACAAACCTCGAGCAACGTGACCGATCGGAATGGCAACAGGTTCTCCTTAAAGGGGCCCTGCAAGGACTTTTTTACTGGTTTTCAATTCACAGTGAACCTGAACGCACTGAACGTAGAAACTTAATTAACTTTTTATTTCTCAAATGTTCCCTCTAATTTAAAAGTTATAGGCATATTTATAGGCACAAGCAAAAACTAACCTTCTTTATGACGTCCTTGGTTGCTTGAGAGGCCGTGAACTAGAGGAAGGGTATTGAGCTCAACGAGCGGTCACGGCTGCGGGCACTCCATGTCGACGGCTCGAGAGGGTACCACTAAAGCATGTTCTGGCTAGGCTGTATGAAGCGGGTAGCCAGGGCGGCTCGGATTGCATTCGCTACGCGATTAAACCCTAATTCGGTTTGACACTTCATTGGTCACAAACGACAGCAAACACTGGGCAAAGAGCAGTTCAGAAGGGTGCCACTTCGCGCTGCTATACCGCCAAAAGGCCAAATGGTAAGCCAAAACTGCTCCCCGAAGGCCTTGGGAACGCTCGGAACCGGTCAGATCTTCCAGTCCGTACGACCGCAGCGACACCGCGTACATCTTGGACCTTTCTACGCTCGTCGATCGTTACTAGACCATTCTATATGCGCCGCCTTTTCTACCACTTGGTGGCGGGTATGTCGACGGATCCTTTCTTGTTTCTGTACTTTCTAAACTGCATTTGTTTCTTTTCTGATCTAAAATAGTGAACAAAAACTACTTTCATAAATCATTGAAACTGTTTGCGCCACTTATATTTTGTATTTCGACTAAAAAGAGACTTTTAGCGGCTCTGACCAGTAGTAAGCCCAGGATCAAAGATGTCACATATCGCGCGTTTTCGGCACCGCGGGTCGCCCCCGTACTTCAAGGAGGTTTCCGCGTCGTCCGGTTAAAATATCACGCACTCATATTTAGTTACTCTCTGCGTACCCGCTGTTTTGCCCGAAGCCCGAGGGACGTGGAAACCGCAAAAAAGGTAGACGCTTAAATATGATTGCAGGGTCCCTTTAAGGCTTCCCTTAAACTCATCCAAATATCGATTCATCATAGTGAAAAACAAGTGAAACAATTGACTACCGTCCCCGCTGCACTTCTCCGTTCAAATGGTTCCTTCTCGACGTCCGAAATTAGCGCCCTATCTGAATTAAATAAAAGAGAAATGCCACGACCTTGAAATAATCAAGCTACGTAAACTTAGCGTGATATGGTTCCCAAACCTGTTTTACCTCAGCTTACGAGATCATCTAGCTATAGCGAACATACTCAACCGCCCTTACCATAACAGACGATACGCCAAGCACTAGTGACACTTGTGGCATTATTAATGTTAATCTATCTGGGATGACTATATGATGCTTAACATTCATAACACAGTACTGATTTGCGGGTTCATTACGTTTCGTTGCATTGCAGATTAGCCGTCCGTCCTCTACCCTCTGCTGTAGTGCGCTGCTGGTGGGGTGACTGTCACAAAGCCTCTCGCGCCGAACTGTCCTCCAAATTTCCTACACGTTGGACGCAGTGCACCGAGGACTACAAGACCGGATGCTTCAGCGCCGACGGGTTCTTCAGTAACAACCCCCAAGAAGTGGGTGACTTGAGACCAATGTCCCTGACTTCCAACTCGAGTTTGGGGACAAAATGACCTGTGCCATGTTGCTAGACTGATTAAATATACGAATCGGGGAATCAAGCAGAGCCAAGAGACCATCATCGCAGGGCCCGCCGTTTTTGTGCGTTTGTTATCAACGCCTAAACCAATCCCGCGCAAAAAATATAAAAAAATAAAACAACATAAACAACAACACAGGGTCATGGTCCGTTCACTAAACATGATTGGCTTAGCCAATAATAGAAAAAGCACGAAGCTGACCAGCACAATGACAACACACTTTTGGCGCTGGTTGAGTGGCCCTATTCGATTGTAGTATCTGCTGCGATTGGATTCGTGAAATGGAGCATACGTTTTATGCGTAATAATTATCTTGTGGTGACGTGTTTTGTACCATTTGGTTCTCAAATGCAAGATGACGATATGCGCCGAAAAACTGAGGGAAAGGGAAAGAGGAGAGGGGACGTCAGAACGCCAAACTCTGATTGGAAGGATTAGTGGGTAGACCTAAAGCTATAGCTGCCTTTGTCACCGCTGCACTCTTCGAACGCGTTAGAAGGCGGAACGCTGGCGTCCGGCGTTTGCCTCTCGCATTCAAACACATTCGACGAGTGCAGTAGAGACATTTAGGTCTACACAGATAGTTTGGCCATCCATAGGGAAGTACAGGAGGCAACTGAGGAGGCGCCATTGGCCGAGAGCGGGCAGGGCCTGTTTCAGGACGCATTCAGGTTTTCGAATGTGGCCAACCAGACGCCGCGGAGGTCGCGAGGAACAAAATTAATAATGTGCGTCGGAGTAAACCACTGTGACTGAAAATATGGTGCGCGTGATGTTTCAATTCCGGTCATAAAACATCATGGTGGAAAGGATATAAAAAGTTAAGAGTACAGAACAAAATAATATGTACGCGAGAGGCAGAACGATTGACTTTATCCGTACGCCAAGCGTCGAGGGCCGGGAATATGCCGTCCGAGCGGACAAAATCCGTTCGACCAAACAAGAGTTTGAGCGGCACATTCGTTTCTTAAATTGTTTTGCGTATTCATAATAGAAACATCAGGTATAACACAGTTTCAGCCATGAAGATTTGCTACGTTCAACTGCTTCGCAGTTACTAAATCTGTTTCCCGCTACCACCGCTAGAAGATTATTTTCGGCTTCTGGTTGGCCATGATAGAATGGCAATACCTCTTTCTGCGTCTGGTGCACGCCTTGGCTCTACCCCATCTCGATTTCACCAAATCCTTTCTATATACGGCTCTGGGTTTGCTCACTAATCATTCAAATAAGAGCTTGGTGTTCCGACGTACCCGCAGCCTCTCGTCTTCTCCTCCCCCCTGTTTCTCAATATTGAATGAATGATAAAGATAACAATGTAAATTCAGCCTATTCGCAGCCCATGCCACAACAAAGATACTGGAAGCAAGCGCCTACAGTGATAGAGCATATTAAGATACTTCCTATCTTCATTCTCCCCCTCCCTGCTCCGCCCCGGCGTCAGCCGTGGCTCTCAGTTTGTTGACGGAAGCAGTCTCTCTTTTTTTTTTCTGCTGAAGCGCTGTAGGTTTAGGAATATGTGAAAGTTTTCTCAGAAACAATTTCTGCATGTTTGTCATGGTTCTTTGTATTTCTCTTCTCGTGCATTTTTGTGACCATTTAACTCATAAATGGTGATTTAAACATTCGAATTGCTTAAAGCTCTTTCATTCGGAACAGAAGAGTCGCAATCAAACATGACTCTTTCTTATCCTTGCCTGTGTTACCCTACAGGTTCCCTTGATTTTTATAGCATGCAGACTTTTCATTCTTTCAAATTCTTGCTCCTGATTGCATAGCCTGAGTTCGATGTCGGGAAAAACGTGTATCTCAATAAAACGGTATCGAGGGAATAGCTTGTTTTGACATGGAAAAGCATGCTGTGCAGTCCTTTCACATGGGATTTTAGCCTCTGTTCCTAGGCGTTCTTGAGGCTTCCATAGAAGTTGAATTTGTGTTCTCTCTTCATTGATCAGAAATAATCTGCCACATTTAGTGATTCTGGGGAAACAAACCAACCATGCCCTTAGTCCTTACGCTTCGGCACGCGCGACTTCCCAAGTAAGAACACGGAGGCACGACAAATGCTTCGCCTACAATCTAGGTTTTATTTAGGAGCAGTTCACTCTCTTAAGTGAGGTCCGGAACGGCCTTGAAATTCGTTCAAGCCTTAGGCATGGGCTTGAGGGGCTCGATTTGGCACTCGCTCCGGGGAACGCATTCTCTGTGCCCCTTTCGGTAAAAGCCTGGAGCGCAGAAGCAGCCGCTGGCGCAGTCCATGGTGCAGGCTTCTGGCATGCCTTCCATGCCGCACTTGAGTTCGGCACAGCTGCTGCTCACGCATTCCATGAAGATCTCTCTGGGACCACACACCCAGGGCAACTCGGCCGCTACTGCAAGCGATAGAACGAAGATCAAACCAATCGTCCTTTCGTAGGCCCTAGCTGGATAATAATTAAAAAGATAACGTGAGCACGTTTAAGATAAAATTACTCCATCGAGTACCTATCTTAGAAAGGTAGAAAGCTACAACTTTGCACATTCGCTCTTAAGGACACGTTTGTATCCAGTCACAGGTTTTCGGTACCTGCAATGGGTGTGACCTGTACAGAGTGCGACAATACGTACTGGCCCATGCGCCGTTCAGGACTTTCAGCACATTAGCTATGAGGGGAGTCCGCGGTTTTGTCAGTATGCTAAAAGAAGTTTGAGTGTAGTGCCACATTTTCGATAGTTGCTGTCACAGAATTCAATAGCTACTTTTGCTTTTCAATGGTTATGTTGTTGTCCGTTGCCGTGTTTGTGAGTGGGGTGCGCGAGCGCCGAGGACAGGAGCACGAGCTTAGCCCGCGCGCGCGAGGTTTTGTGGAACACACCGCGGGGCAAGGTTGCGACGGTGTGGATGGTCGGCGCTGAGCAGGTCCGCGTCGGCATGGTTGTTCGAACACCGAGAAGGTATTCGACGGAGAGGGGTGTGAGTGCTTGTGAGTGAGTGTTGTGCGTCACTACGACACCCAAGCCACCATGGCTTCTCGACCCCGACTGGCGGCGGAACGAACCGGACCTCCACCTGCACCTTGGAACGCTGACTCGGCTCTTCCCCCCCAAAACTGTATGACAACCTCGATTCGACTTTTGATTTTTTTTTCTTTCCTTGTTTCGACTGTGTGTACGTCCTGTGCGCCTTTCCTTACTTTTTGAATTATTTTACATAAAATACTGTTCGTAAAGTCGGCATGCTTTGCTCTCAATTCCTCCCGCCTCTCAGGATGTCTATCGCCAAGGTGTGGTCCTAACACCTGGACAGCGGGCCAAGTCAAATTCCAAATTTGTTTGTTTAAATGGGATCTTTAACATCCGAACCTGTGACAAACTGGCGTCCGCGACAGGACCTGCTGTCCACTGTGACGATCTATCCTGAGAGGAGGAGGGTGAGCGAGTGAGTTTGCCATGCCGTAGGGAGCGCGTTGTGAGGCTGACGCCGTTGCGGGAGCACACAACCCGGCTTACCGATCGGGAGCAGAGGAGAGGTTCTAGAGTCAGACTATCCAGCAAAGGGTCCGCGCGATTTCAGCCATGGAGCTCCATGAGCTAATAGTTTGCGGAAAAGAACTCGGGCTCAAGGGTTCGGCCCTGAAGGAATGGGTGGACCAAGAGAGGGAGAATACGAGAGCCGCGAGAGCGCAAGAGCAAGAGAGGAGTGTCGAAGCGGAGCACCGAACCCTAGAGTTGAGGATCAGGCTGCAAGAATTACAGAACGCGTCGCCGATACCTGTTACCAGTAGCTCCGCCGAAGACGGGGCCGGGACAACGCTATGGAAGAGTCCTCAGCGTTGGCTGCCCACCTTCGACGAGAAGAAAGACGACCTTGATGCCTACCTGATGCGCTTTGAGAGACTAGCAAGCGGGCAGATGTGGCCCCGCGAACACTGGGCCACTGCGGTTAGCGTATGCTTGGCAGGGGAGGCACTTGGAGTCTTTTCTAGGCTAACCCCGGAGGATTCTGTCGAATACGATAACGTAAAGAAAGCGCTCCTGCAGAGGTTTCGGTTAACTGCGGACGGCTTCCGAGACAAGTTTAGAAGTGCTAAGCCGGAAAAGGGGGAAACCGGTACACAATATGCGGCGAGGTTGTCTAGCCTGTTTGACCGTTGGGTCGACCTGTCCGGGACGGCGAAGGATTTTGCCGCCTTACGGAATTTGCTGCTCACGGAGCAGTTCGTTCGGAGCGTTCCGTCAAAAATGTCGCTTTTCTTAAGAGAAGGAAAGAGCAAACAGCTAGGCGAAATGGCTGACCTCGCAGACCGTTATCTGGAGGCCCAAGAACAGGAGCCGGCCAGGAGAGAGGAGGCTACACCAGACTCTACGGCAAGTGGATCTCGACCGACATCGAGCGGTCAACAGTACAAGGCCAGTAAACTTCTTAAGAAATGTTTTCTTTGCGGCAGAAGTGGACACCTAGCGGCACAGTGCAAAAGCGGTCAGAAACCAAGCAGCCAAGCTGGGACCTGCCGAAATTGCGGAAAGTTCGGTCACACGTCCAGTCAATGTTGGAACCGGGACGGAGGATCGCAAGTTTCCTGTGTTCAGGCAAGCAGGAAGGAGCTGGACGCAGTATTCGGTCGTGTGAAAGGTGGCTATGTCGAGCTAAGGGACGGCACCAAGGTGCCAGTGGTAAACGCAGTGTCCGGGACTTCTCGCCTGATGGGGGACATGCCTGTAGTTGCCGGAAAACTACACGGACAAGCTGTCACTGTGTTACGTGACACAGGCTGCAACACTGTCGTAGTGCGCCGAAGCCTCGTACCAGACGACAAACTTACCGGAACGTCGAGTCTCGTGTACTTGGTGGACGGGACTGCGAGGGTCTTGCCTGAGGCCAGGGTGCATGTTGAGACTCCTTTCTACAGTGGGAACGTCGTGGCTCAGTGTATGGAGAACCCTTTATATGACCTGATTTTGGGTAACCTCCTAACGTGCGCGCTCCCAGCGAACCGGAAGCTG